GACTAATTGTTACAAAGCTCAATCTGACATCAGATTGCAGATCAAGGATGTGCAAGATTGGGACTGCTGCCAAAATCTATGCTCTTGAGAGGCTCCAAAGAGCTTTGGAGACACCAACCTATCTGAAGCTTTTGTGTCCTGGATAAAGGAAATACTTCCTGATGCCATTATACAAGAAGGCCATATCAACAGGATGCACTCTGACCAAAGCAAATAAACTGAGTTTTAGCTCCTTCATAATTAAACATGACTTATTTCAAAAGTTCAGAACACTGGAAAAAATAATAATGGAAAATACAATCTACCAGGATCTCTGCATAGGAAAGCTGCAACGCAGATGTGAACTTAAAATTACACAGCAGCAGTCTGTGAAGCAGGCATACATTTCCAATGGGGTTACCCATTCAAAATCCTAATAACTTACGAAGGAGTAACTAAAGCTGCCGCCACAAAATTGAATGCTAAAAAATTATTAAATCAACTGGGATGCAAACCAAATGAAGACAAACATCTGAAATAAGTAGGCAGGGGAGAGAGGAAGAGAGGAAAAATAAGGCGAAAAATACACCTGCAAAAAAAACCCAACAACAGCAAAAACAACACACAGATAACTTCTTCTCTGCCTGAGGTCCCACTGAAATAACCAATGCTAAGTTTGACCAAGAACAATGAGCTCTATAACCAAAACGGACAGGAATCAGGCTATTATTCTATTATCTTTGTTTGCAATATAATCATGTAGAACATTTTCTGCTTCTGGGGGGTGGGGGTTAATGTTTATGTTCCCCAATTTAACCTTAGCTCATGAAGAAAAATACAGACTATTCCGTTCTCAACCACAGGCGTAGGCTATTCCATTGGGAAGGTTGGGGGGAGGGATAAAGGAGCTGGGAGTTTGAATGTTGAAGTTAACCCCTTTCAGAATTCAGAGAATCTTTATTTTGTGCTGAATACTTTAAAGATAGCATTTTGCTGGTACATGTGCCCAGCCAGACTACATAGAATTAATCATAACACATCCAACCTTTGCTGGTGGGAATGCAGTTTACCAGGCTCTCTAGTACACATTTGCTAGTTTTGCCCCCAAATTATACCCTTTTCAGAAAAAGTTTTCAAACACGTAATCAAATTATGGAACACTCACCACAACCAGACCCCAAATTAGCCCTACTATCTTATTTTACTCTTCAGATAGAATATAACCAATAAAGACCTCATCCTCATTTATTAACTGCAACTAGATTAGTGATTGCCAAAAAATCGGAAATTTTAAATGCAAATCTTTTTGAAGCCTAGAGTATGGGACATTGTGCTTATGGACAAATTACCCATTTCACAAAAGGAATATTGATTTGCAGTGGTAAACACATCTACAACATGGTATCCTTTTACTGACTTTGTTAAGACAATTGGAACATGGCTTTTACTCTCCACCATCGCACCTCATGAAGAGGCACTTTCAACTGAATGCCTATCTTGGAATGTCTAAAACTACAACTATCAGGCGCTATTTTTCTTTCTTTTCTATACAACCACTAAGCTCTGTTTTCCTTGCATAGGTATTTTGTTACTTGAAATTAAAAATCTATTTTTTTTTTTAAAAAAAAGAATAATAAGTAGTTAGAGGCAAGTGAGCACTTAATTATTAGTCTTTTGATTTCAGTCTATATATAACTGAAAACATGTGTCTGCATTGTTCGATTGTTTCTTAGTTTAAAAAGTATTGTTTATTATTTGTGGAGGATTCTTTTTTAAAAAAACATCAAAAAGGAGAGTAATTCTTATATTGACATTTGCTGGAAAGATCAGATTGCTTTCTATTCTTGATTGCTTTCTTTATCTCTACTCCCTATTTTGTATCAGAATCCCAAGTGCTATATTTCATATAAATGACTTGCTCACTGTCAAGCAGCAAATCCACAGGAAGACAGTGCTCTAGGTATCCTACAGGGCTCTCCTGCTATGCACCATTCAGCAAGCCAATTAGCATGATATTTTTATCTCTAACCTGATTTTGATCTAATTACAAATCAGTATTTTACCTATCTGTTTTGTGTTGTGTGCTAAATACACCAGTCAAATAGTATTATGCCACAACCTAATGCAGATAAATAATTTCACATTCACATTTTAATTTATTTTGGCTTTCAAGTTAAACATGTGCAATAAAATAAAATGTATCAGGGCAAAGGCTTGCTGTGGCCAGAGGCATATAAGAGTTTCTGAGAAATATTAGAGGTCTCAGGAACATTGAGCCCTGCCCTGTAACACAGAAACTTCTAGGAGTAGCAGTTTTTATGTGATGGCTCCTTTGGGTTAGGACAAGGATGGGTTAGGACAAGTCAGATGCGGGCTTGAATCATGAGTGAGTCTGCTGGTTTCCCTAATGCAATGAGAGAGGGGACTACAGACTACAGAGTTGTAGGTTCAGGTGAAATATGGTGACTGGGTTTAGAAGTAGGGCTAATTTTGTCAATGACCATCAAATTTTTGACAGTTCACTGTATAGGTATGCCACTATTGAGTAGCTTGTTTTCTTTTTGTTTGAAGATTGTTTGATTGTACAGTAAGCCCGAAATTACATACATTTAACATGCACATTCAGCTTCACAGGTTTGGCAAGAAAATAAAATTAAAATAAAATGGGGGCAGAAAGGGGGTCAGTATATTGGGTAAAAAGACTTTGGCAAACCCACCTGCCATTGCACCCAGTGTGTGTTGACTATATGCAATTTTGGCTTTAAGCATGATCCCCAGAATGTAACCCCTGTGTAAATTGCAGGCTTAATGTATTTTATCATATATCTTTAATGCAATTAGTGAGGTGAGGTGAGAATATTCTCTGCTAGAAAATTATCTGGAGAATATTCTCCACAAACTGTAAATTCTAATGTAAGAACCAGTTTTACAACCCACATTTTAAAAAAATCTAGTAAATAGTAAGTCAACCAGTGTAAGTAATGAAAAATGATTTATTTGTTTTTTGATCCAGTTACATTACTGGGCATTGTGTCATTCACCATTGGCAGTTCTGAAATGTGAGCTACAGAAAACTTTTTTTTTTTTTTTTAGTTTTAAAAATGCTATTTATTTAATTTGATGAACATTTGAATTTGTATGTATTTCAACTATATGTAATAGTCTTTTTTCTATTTTGGTGTGACCTTATTCTTAGCAATTCTATACCCTTGGCTATACAGTGTGATTTTTTTTTACAGAAAGTAGCTTTAACGCTTTATACAATTATGTGTAACCAACCGCATGTGAAGTGGCCTTAAAGCCTATTTTTAAAATAAATTTATTTCATGTGACAATTTATCAGTTATAATGATAAATATGTTGTGTGTTGCCTTACTTGTCTAAGCAGATAGTAATTTGCATTTCTGATGTTATGTAACTTGCCATTACTGATTATTTGTGTTTTATTTTCTGGAAATAATAGCATTTATTTTAAACTTTATATTGATTTTATTAGTGTTGCACTGAAAATACTGTACCATGTAGATATGCTTATTAAAGAACATACTCATGTAGCGGACTTGAGGTTTTTTTAATATTCCTTTTACTTTAAAAGCTACATTTCATGCATACACAACATAATTAGAATTCAAAGTTGATGGTATACGGTTAGTGGCAGGCTTACTGATTAACGTGAGCCATTCACGTTGAATTTTCAATTTCAAGTTTGGTGCAAAAAATCAAAGAATGTGAATTCACTGCATTGTCCCATTGAATAAAAGTATCTGTACAGTTTTTGGTTGCCATCTGAACAAGTTTACCCATGAATAAACATGTATATTAACTAATTATATCATTTTCAATGCTTTAAAATGAATATTCTCCTATTTTAAATGAAAATTCTGTAATATTCTCATTAATCGAGAATACTCTTGAGAATATTCTCCAAAAGATTATTCTCAAGAATTTAACATCACTAAATGCAATAATCTGTCACTTACTGCTTTGGAGATCTATGGGCCAAAAAAGTGGTGAAACACACACACACACACCCCACACATATTGGCAAGTCAGCAACAGTGAAAGAGTTTAAGTAATTTCCCACCCCATATTTAACTGGAGAGTTGTGCCACAGAACGTTTCCCTTAGAAATAAAACACAAATCTCTAAGAGACCAATCCAATGTATGCCTTCCCAAACATAAATGAAAGTCGTAATTTAGTAGTAAAGTATGTCATTCTAATGCTGTCAACCTCTTAATTATACATATTTTATATATCTACACTCACACAGAAATCCTTTTAAAATCTCTGTTCATTCAGCTTCAAACTTTGTGTACAATTCTTTACTTCCCTTTCCACTTCCCCCCACTGTACACATATTGTGGTGTATGCAATGTGGCTAGATGCTACCATTAATATGACTATCAATAATGCAAGCCCTTTCCAGGCCTCTAGGACACATCCCATCATGGTGATGGCAAAGTGGATTACATTTAACCTGGCACCCATGTACCCACCTGAGGGTTAAGCGAAAGAGCTCAGTGCACTTCATATGGAGTGCCCTTCCATGAATACAACTCATAGTGCTGTGTGAGTGGAAGGGAACAGATGACATTTCATCCAGAAAAGAAACCAACCATTTCTCTATTTTAGCGGTCAAGCCAGAACTCTAGTACTCAGAAGGCCACTGTGGGCTTAAAATGCCATCAACTTCCATTTCTGCCATGTATGTCATTTGTTGACACTTTGCTTTGCCTAATGAATAAGGGGCCCTGGTTCTTACTTCCAGCTAGCTTTCTCCTGTAACTCACTTTATTCCCCCATGAAAAAATCAAATACATTTCACTCTGAGGTAGGTGGCTTTTATTTCCATTTTATAGATGGAGAACTAATGAGACAGTGAAATAGTGATAGACCCGAAACCATACACTGGACCATAAGAAGCTGCCTAATACCAAGTCAGACCATTGGCCTATCTAGCTCAAAACTGTCTACACTGATCATCAGGGTTTCAGACGGGGAGTCTCTCTTAGCCCTACTTGGAGATGCCTGGGGTTGAAGCTGGGACCTTCTGCAGGCAAGGCAGATGTTCTATCACTGAGCTACAGCTCGTCTTCACCAACTTCAACAGCAGAGGCAGAACTTGAACTCAGGTTCCTCAGGTTGAATTCTCTAGCCACTAGCTATAATGGCCTTTATACCTAAATAAATTAAGGAACTGCTACCTTAGGATAACTTCCCATATAAAGAAGTCATTTAAGTCTATAAGTAATGATCAGATTTAATCAAATAATGGCATTACTTTAGGTTTATCTGTCTCAGTTTTGCAAAGGCCAATCACTCCATCTTCAAAGGAACCATTAACTACACCCTGTTTCTTCACTGCAGAAAAAGTGCACAGCCACTATTACCTGCAAATATGACAAGTGGCACATATGCTAAACTATTCCCTAAAGACAACCAGATTCTCCTGAAGGAAATTAAGAGTTTGACAGGTTGAAATATGGTTAAGGATAGTAAAAGATGACCTATTAACTAAAATACTCTTTGCAACTGCTCCCAATCAGCCCCTGCATGACTTTCAATCCTTACGTTTTCCTTTAATGCTGTAATTGTAGATGGTATTCTCTAGAAGGTAACAAGGAACAGCTGTTATGAGTGAACTCAGGCTAATAAGGTCAAGCAATCTCACAGCAAATTGACATATTGACCTTGCTCCAGGGAAAACCAACTTTAGACAGAAATAAAACCCATACATTAACAAGAAAATCTTTCTAAGCAATAAATATGTGCTGGTATGTCATGTTTCTCTAAATTCTTCATGATGTTTCTCAGATATAATACAAATTGAAAGGGTCAAAAGTGTAAAACTGTTTATTTTCAGTTTTGTTCTTGTTCCTTTTGTTGTAATCAACAATTTATATAGTATTTCTAGACTGCAATCTAATGTACAGTTATGCAAAAATAATTCACAGTTGAAAGCAGTTGGACTTCTGCATATGCATTTAAGGGTCATTTTCATTTGGAGCAGAGAGTATGCAAAACGTTTGTCACTTTTGTTACACTTTTGTTTAAATTTACCCCCCCCACACATGTTTATATACTGTATATGACATTGGTTAAGCAAGAAGAAAGCAAGAAAGCACACAGACAAGCAGTGTAGGCAAAGTAGTACCACCAGCCCAAGCCAATAGGAGTTTCCCTGAACCTGGCTCTACCACCAGTTTCAGAAACATAGAACTGTTCACTTCCACCACCATGGCTCAGTTCAAGTTACCTTGCACTCTGAGACAGAATATTGGTTTTGGATTCCATCCTGCTAGATAGATTTATTAAATTTTAATAAATGTGCAGGGAATTATTACTAGGAATTTTGGCCAGAAGCCAAAGAACTACTTAGGCTCACATGGGAAGCTTGCACGGCTCAGTGGAATTTTGTTACATTCCACTTAGAATATCACCAATTGCTTTGGAAATTACCATTAGTCTGGGTCTACATGGTGTATATAGCTTTGAATTTAGATTTAAATCTAGTCTTGTCATCTGTTTCTTATGCAACAAAATTTGGAGAATACAGCTAACTGGGTCTAAGAAGGCCTTCAAAGGAGAGTTCTATTTGAAATGATCTGGGCTCAGTCAAACTCACTTGGGTGTAACTGGAGGTCTGCTCCTTTCTTCCTTTGTGTTTGGTGCCCTCCAGTTATTCCTTTTTCCAAAATCCGCATTTGGCCAAAAAACACTCTGGGTTACTTTGGGCCTGTCACTATCTTTCAGCCTAACCTACCTCACAGCTTGTTATAAGGTCAAAATTTCATGTGTGGAACTATGTATACTACATTGCACTCACTGGCAGAAGGGCATGATCTAATTACATGATATGATACATTAATAAGTTCTTAAATTCAATTATTTCATACCTATGATTCCCCACCCTCACCTAATCTATAAACTAGCTACTGCTAGTTAGAGTAGACAGTACTGGGCTAGATAGCCAAATAGTCTGACCTTCTGTAAGTCAGCTTCCAGTGTTACAGCTTCCTGCTAAGTTTTAACACTAGAGGTAAAACAAAGGTGCACAAAAATTATCAAACTAATTCTCCTCTCTTGAATTACTATGCCAAAATTTGAATGGATTCTTTCCTTATTTGAATTTCTTTCAACATCCTAGACCTGGGGTTGGAAATCTTTTTGGACCCATAGGCACATCTGCAACCACGATAAACTGTTGTGGGCACCACACGCATCCTACAACCAAACACAACCCATTCTACTTACTACAACAGAATGCTTCTTTCAAGCCTAATTTCAGTAAAGGTTGTGTGGGGACCCTGTGAGTAAGAGTACAGGCTTCTGTGGACACAAGTGTGTCCACAAGTGCCGTACTGGTGACCCTTATCCAAATGTGCCATCTGGGGAAGTAGACATCAGCACAGGGATCAGCAAAGGCTATGTGCAAGTTCTGGGTGATGGGTATGTTCAAATACTTTCTGAAACTGTTCTGAGAGGCGAGGTAGTCGTTATGGTACAATCTCTACAACAGACCACAGACTGTACAAGATTCTTATACATACAGTGAATGGTAGCATGTGTTGAGAGGCAGCATGGGGAGGCAGAAGGTGCTGAGCTGAACCCCTGCCCATGTTCCTCCCAGCCATTTCCCCCCCTTCCAGAAATTACTTCAAGTCTCAGAGGCGGACTGGAGGAAAACAGTGTCGGGGGGGGGAGAGACTCAGCACCCTGCATTTGCACCAGGGAAAGCTATCTCTGTAAGAGGTTATCTTCAAAAGCTGACTCTCCAACAAATGGAGGGAAGAGATAATAATAATAATAATAATAATAATAATAATAATAATAATAATAATTTTTATTTATATCCCACCCTCCCCAGCCGAAGCTGGGCTCAGGGCGGCTAACAACAATAAAACAGTACAAAAGTACAGCACAAACAACACTCTAAAGTCATTCATTATAAAATTAATTAATTCAAACTACTGGCAACCATTGGGCCAGAGCTCCGCGAAGATTGCCGAGGGAGGGAGTCAGGCTGTGCCCTGGCCAAAGGCCTGGTGGAACAGCTCTGTCTTGCAGGCCCTGCGGAAAGATGTCAAGTCCCGCAGGGCCCTGGTCTCTTGTGACAGAGTGTTCCACCAGATCGGAGCCACGGCCGAAAAAGCCCTGGCTCTAGTTGAGGCCAGCCTAACTTCTCTGTGGCCTGGGACCTTCAAGATGTTTTTATTTGAAGACCGTAACTTTCTCTGTGGGGCATACCAGGAGAGGCGGTCCCGTAGGTACGAGGGTCCTAGGCCGTATAGGGCTTTAAAGGTTAAAACCAGCACCTTAAACCTGATCCTGTACTCCACCAGGAACCAGTGCAGCTGGTATAGCACCGGGTGAATGTGATCTTGCAGACCCTGTAAGGAGTCTCGCTGCAGCATTCTGCACCTGCTGGAGTTTCTGGGTCAGTCTCAAGGGCAGCCCCACGTAGAGCGAGTTACAATAATCCAGTCTGGAGGTGACCGTCGCGTGGATCACAGTGGCTAGGTCAGGGCGAGAGAGGTAAGGAGCCAACTGCTTAGCTTGGCGGAGGTGGAAAAATACCGCCTTTGTTGTAGCTGCAATCTGCACCTCCATGGAAAGGGAGGTGTCGAAGATTACACCCAAACTCTTAACGGACAGTGCTGGCACTAATTGCGCCCCCGCAAGAGATGGGAGTTGCCCCCCCAATCCCATATCGTCCCGTCCCAGCCACAGGACCTCTGTCTTCGAAGGATTTAGCTTCAACCGGCTCCCACGTAACCATCCAGCCACAGCTTCCAAACATCTGGTCAGTGTGTTTGGGGCTGAGTCAGGATGGCCATCCATCAACAGATAGAGTTGGGTGTCATCAGCATACTGATGGCAACCCAGCCCAAAACTCCGGACAAGCTGGGCGAGGGGGCGCATAAAGATGTTGAAAAGCATCAGGGAGAGTATCGCACCCTGAGGTACTCCACACACCAAGGAGTGGCACGATGACAATTCCCCCCCAAGCACCACCCTCTGTCCCCGACCAGAGAGAAACGAGCGCAGCCATTGAAGGACTGTGCCCTGGATCCCCACGTCGGCAAGGCGGTGGTCCAGAAGTTCGTGATCGACCATGTCAAAAGCTGCTGACAGATCTAGAAGAATCAGCAGCCCCGACCCACCTCGATCCAGCTGTCTACGAAGATCATCTGTTAGGGCAACCAGAGCCGTCTCAGTCCCATGACCAGCGCGGAAGCCGGACTGGAATGGATCCAGATGTATGCTTCTCATAGACTAGTGAAGTTCCTCCAGTATTATCAAAACACTTTTGGATGCACTTTAGATCCCTCAGGTATTTCCACCTGAGCAGAACTCCAAAATCCACTTCAAGTTTTGTTTTATGGCCTCTCTACACACCACTATATTGATGGATTGCTAAAATATAAAGGTAAAGGGTAAAGGGACCCCTGACCATTAGGTCCAGTCGTGGCCAACTCTGGGGTTGCGGCGCTCATCTTGCTTTATTGGCTGAGGGAGCCGGCATACAGCTTCCGGGTCATGTGGCCAGCATGACTAAGCCGCTTCTGGAGAACCACAGCAAGGTTTGAGGGTTTCCTGGTTTTTTTCATCATTTTGAGGTCAAAACTCTGTGGTCAGGAACGCATTAGAAATTTCCCTGTAGGAATCAATGGAAATTGTTGACTTGTAATGAAAATGCTCACCTAACTAATGATTTGCTGAGAACATATTGCGTTCGGATAGTGGGATCTAAGTGTAAAATGGCCCTGCAGGAGGTATTGTTACATTCATTCACAACATCTGTTTCAACTTCAACTGCAGAATTATTATTCTATAGTAATCATTTTCAATCCGGGTTGTTTCCCCTCAATAGCATCATCAAGTGATTCCGAATATTTGGGAATTCTTACTGTTCCACAGCAGAAATGTTTTTAATTCTTACAGAACGTTCTTATTTCAAGACTACAGATTAGTTGATTATAGTTCTATATCAAATTTCCAGTTTTTAGTTCAGGGGTCATCTAAATGTTTTGACGCCTAATTACTGCTGAGGCTGCACTGTTGTGACATACTATCTCCTTCTGTTG